ACCATGTAATTTTATAGGCTCCTAGCAGTCTTGAGCTTCTTCGGTGCCAAAAAAATTAAGATTCTTTTTACTATTATTTCGAATTTACAGTTCATCAATTACGTAGTAGATGAGCCTGAACTCATTATGGGTGTTTCTGAGGACGGCATTCGGTGCCTAGGTTCATTTACATCCGTGGTAAATAGTAACAAAAGTAAAAATTAATAAAAAGTGCATTGTTTTTGCTAATAGTGTGTGCATGATAGGTGTTGAACTTCTGTGACATTAAAGCATGGAGCTAAATCCAAACCAAATGCCAAAGTAAGCCTAAGGCTGGTTGTAGTGGGAGTATCATAAGTAGTATCATGCATGCCAACTAGACTTTTTGAATGATGTGGCACACAATTAAATGAGGAAAGAGATGATGTAGTATCATATCATGATACCGTATCATATTAAATGATCTACTAGTTTGTGTCATGCATGGCAATTAATAAGGTAATCTAAGATACTAACTTATGATACTATGCATTACGGAGGTAGTATCACACACTAGTATCATATGCATGATACTAGTATATGATACTCTCCATTACAACCAGCCTAACCAAACACCCCTTTAGTCAAAGTAGTTCCTTCTTATCTTTATTGCAGGATGAGTCAACGACTTCACTTAATAAATGGAACTTCTACTTAGAAAAAGGCCAAAGTTAACTCCATCCATCCAGGCATCCAGTAATATCATACATTCAAGGATTCAAGTGAAGGGGTTTCCTGGATGCCAGACAAAACCCAACAGTTTTATGTTCTATTTCTTCCAACAAAAAGGAAGGCCTCTGCATACTTGCGTACAACCGTAGTTCTATTAACAAGATGTCGTACACCAAGACTGAACAGATCGACTTACAGAAGAAAAAAGGAGAATTCTAGAGCAGCATCGTGAAATAGCTTAGTGAAAACCCTTTTTTCGTAGGTTTCCATACACTAGCCACCGCAGAATGTGTCGCAAGTCATAACAGACAAGTACAGTGCTCCTACAGAATGATGACAAGGGGTCGTGACATGGGACCAATGTCATTCCTTAGACTACAGAGGACAAATGCCCCATCTGTCTCAGGAGAGAAAGCTTTTGCACCCAAGCGACTAAATGTAGAGAACAATATGTGTTTCCATCATCCCACATCTCTCGTTCCTGATGTCTCCTATTCTCACTTATCTATATGTATCTTTATGTGGATGGTGCATATGTCCGTGCATTGCTAGTTGCTAGTTAGCCCGCTGCCATTTTGTTGCTTCGTTTGAGCAAACTAGTGGTAACTTGGAATAAGAGAAAAAAGTGGTGAAACCCATGAAGCCACATAAGGCCCACTGGTCTCGACCCTATATATATAGTTATAAAATTCACAGGTATTTAAACAATGTTGTACGTGGTTGTTTGAGAGCACTTATGAGTTATTTCCAAACAATTCCAGGACATATTTTTTTGGTGGAAGATATAAATCATTGCATTTAGTTCTTTCACTACAAATCATTGCATTTCTGTGTACAATATAAACATGTTTCATGTATATGTGTTTCAATATATTTCAAATGAATGGTGGACTTATATAACCAACGACATGGAATGCATATACTGCATTGTTTTTGTAAAGAGGTGTGTACCGCGTTTTCAATCATATAAATCAATGTCCCAATCGAGAAGTGTTTCTTGGATGCTGACATGCAGTAAAAACCGATTAACATTTTAGAACTTAAATAGTGTCTACATATGTGGATTTGTCTCCCTTTTCCTAGGAAGAGACATGTTCCGGTTTCACTAGTAAAATTTCTTACAAGATCAGAATCCAACATGTTTGAGCCAGATATCACCTTTCAACAATCCGCGCCTAAAGCTCAAATCACAAATTTTCCCAGACCATTAAAAGAGTTAACTGACCCAAAACTAAGTTGTTCATGGGAGTAATTTACATTTAACAATACGCAAAAGCCCTCGGTATGTGGAACAATAAACTTCTTGTGAAGCATATTCCACGATAGACATGGTCTCAATGACATTGACACCACTAGAGGTGACCTCCTCTGACAGGCTATGAGGCGGTATTTGGACCTGGAACAAGTGGCGGATCCAGGATTGGAGCAACCCCGGGCACAATTTTTTTTCCGGACGTGACAGAAAAAATTAACGTCTATCAGGCTATAGCTACCTCAAATATGGCTCAATTGCACCAAAATTTTTGAATACAATTGAATGTTTGACAGCAGCACCAACCATAAGCAGTCTGCAGTAGCAAATCCAAACATTATAGCAAATAAAAAATGTTCAATCATTAAAAAAATTCTATCAACAGCAGACAATAGCCATTACCAAATACCCAGTATCCTGGGCCTGGCCGCATGGGCAGCAGACGGCGTGCCGGAGAGTAGGACTGCAGGAGCCAGGAGAGGCCGGAGCAGAGCCAGGAGAGCGAGCCGGCGAGCACCGGAGCAGCAGGGCGAGGCGGCGGGCGGTGGAGCAACAGCCAGCAAAAGCAGGGGACGGCCGGACGAACGGCGGAGGACGGAGGGTGCGGCTGAGCGGCGGAGGGAGGGCGGGACCGCGGGAGGGGAGTCGCCGGAGCGGAGGGCGGGAGACAGGAGGGGAGTCGCCGGCGGGCGGTGGCGGCTGCCTCGCTGCACGCAGGAACTAGCACTAGTGCGTCCTTGCGTGGCTAGGTCTGCGAGTCGGGGCGAGGGGTCTTGCTGTCCTGGGCCTGGTGTAGTTGGGCTAAGCCCCGGGCCCATTCAAAATTATGGCTAGGTAATAACTAAAAAAAAGGCCACGCCCCGGGCCTGGGGCCCAGATCCGCCCCTGCCTGGAACACCACCTCTCTAGTGCCAACCACCAGCTCTGACAAAGGTCGACATGTCTGAGTATATTACACTAGTAGAAAAAGGGTCTAATGTAAAACTTATTAGTCCCGGTTTGTAACTGAACCGACACTAACGTGACCATTAGTGCCGGTTTCAATGGCCAGGCGGGCGGCGCTCATTAGTACCGATTCGTGGCGAACCTTTAGTACCGGTTCGTGGCACGAACCGGTACTAAAGAGGTGGTGGCCTTTAGTACAGGTTGATGGCTCCAACCGGTACTAAAGACCCCTCCTTAGTACCGGTTGGACCCACCAACCGGTACTAAAGGTGGTGCGCTGCCACGCGCAGTGCACAATGTTTAGTTTCTCCTTGCTAGTTGAGAGGAACTCGCACCGGTTTATAAGCCCCGCCACGGCTACCGTGTCGAGCTCTTCTCTAAGCAGGCCTTTGTAGGGCTATTGCAAGTCTTCTGCCCTGTGGGGCCTACCGGGTCGTACGGGCATGCATCCTGGCCCAACTAGAGATTGGGTTTCTAGTCGTATGCCGACCGTGCCGGCCCAATAGATTGGCTGTTTTTGCTTTATTTCAAAAATAAAAATTAAAAAATCCTTACCAACCGGGACTAAAGCTTTGATCCCGGTTCGTGTTGAACCGGGACTAAAGAGGGGGACCTTTAGTCCCCACTCTTTAGTGCCGGTTCCAGAACTAGTACTAAAGGTCCTTACGAACTGGTACTAAAAGTCGTTTTTCTACTAGTGTTACTACCGTCTCAAGCATGTTTGTAGTAGTCAGATGTGGTATGGTGTTGCGCTAGAGAACCATAATGTTCAGCGCCATATTTTCAACTAAATACAGTGTTTCAATCTCTACATGTCTTGTTCTCAAACTAACCTGCCTTTTCTTGCCCAGGCTCATCTACACCAGCCAGCTGTGAACAGTAAATTTCAGAAAATAGAAAAATACCAAAGATGCTCGAGTGTGCTAGGAGCTTCCAAAATTCTATGGCCACATGATATTCGACGAGCTCTAGACAAAAAAACGGTTCTCAAAGGAACTTTGAAAAAAGATATTTTGAGGACCTTTTTTTTGTTTTTGGCTAGAGCTCCTCAAATATCATTTCACCATGTAATTTTGTAGGCTCCTAGCAGACTTGAGCTTCTTCGGTGCAAAAAAAAAAGATTATTTTTACTATTATTTCGAATTTACAGTTCATTAATTAGGGAGTAGATGAGCCTGGGCTCATTATGGATGTTTCTGAGGACGGCTTTCGGTGCCTAGGTTCGTCTATACCCATCGTCAACAGTAACGAAAATAAAAATGAATAAAAAGTGCATTGTTTTTGCTAATAGTGTGTGCATGATAGGTGTTGAACTTCCGTGACTTTAAAGCATGGAGCTAAATCCAAAAGCCAAAGTAAGCCTAACAAAACACCCCTTAGTCAAAGTAGTTCCTTATCTTTATTCCGGGATGAGTCAACGACTTCACTTAATAAAATGGAACTTCTACTCAGGAAAATTAAACATTTGTTAGAAAGAAGCCAAAGTTGACTCCATCCATTCAGCAATATCATACATTCAATGATTCAAGTGAAGGGGTTTGCTGGATGCCAGACAAAACCCAACAGTTCAAGAAAATATAGCTGAAGTATTGTCCAGATAATATGGATTTTCTTCTCATTACCCAATTGTCATGGGGAATTACAAGGTCAGAATCCAAGATGCATCACCTTCCAAAACCATTCTGTTAGTAAACTGACCCAAAATACGCTGACCATGCCAGGAATCCAGATTTTAAGAGCACGCAAAAGCACCTAGTTCCCTGTGCTACATGCAACAAGAAGCATCTCCTGACCTGACCTCTAACCCACAATGACCAGAGGCTCGTCCACGGTGTAACCTTTAGAGGTGATAGAAGAGCTCATTTTATAAAGAGGTGCAACTCTCTTTCAACTTCCGGGGTGGGACTAAACTTTATCTCACTCACTCCACTCACATGTGTGCATGAATGGGCCAAGAGAATTTCAGAATTTTAATTGGGCTTTGGGCCAAAGGCCTACTAGCAAAATTCCAACAAAATACGCTGACCATGCGAGGAAACCAGATTTTAACAGCGCACAAAAGCTGCTAGTTTCCTGTGCTACATGCAACAAGAAGCATCTCCTGACCTGACCTCTAACCCACAATGACCAGAGGCTCGTCGGCGGTGTAACCTTTAGAGGTGATATCCTTCGGCAGGCCGCCGCGTAGTATCTGTACCTGGAACACCACCTCCTCTCTGGTGCCAGTCACAAGCTCGAAGACACAGGCATCGCTGACCTGCAGCCGGTTGTCGACAGCGAAGTCCATCCAATCTGCATCCAGCCTTTTCGTCTTCAAGTCACCACAGTAGCGCATGGCCCATGACCTCCCACGGCAGATGAGGGTGGCGGAAGTGCGCTCCTCCGGGAGGTGCTTGTGGAAGCGACCTGGAATGTACTGGACACAAAGCAACATCATAATTGTAGTAAACGGGTCATTTCTGCAACTACTGAGTATTTGAAGAATTTGTTGCTGTCTCATACCAGCTGAAACGGCTTCTGAACATGAGACCTTGACAGAATGACGGTGAAGAAGGGGTGGTTGCAGGAGAGTGGGGTGGTCTCACAATCTTCGCTGGCATCTGGAGCTGGTGACAGTGAGTTCTCGCAAGGCTCTAAGTTTGGTTTGATGGGGTGTGCATCCGGCAGCTGCTTTGATGGACATAGAGGGGTCTCCATCTGAAAAAATTAAAGCGATCAACTTCCCACTGTTAATGTCAACTCCATGCAGATTTTGTGACCCAGTTCTTTCTTTTCAAATGTCATAGAGGAAAAACTTCCTATGAATCTGTACTGCAGAAAAAGCTTTGATCTTGACAGTGAGCATGAGAGTGAAAATTGTCTGTCCTCATTTGAGTCATTTCAGAAACATGACAGTGAAAGAGGGAGGAGTAGTACTTGCTCATCTTTCACCCGATCAGGCAAGGAAGAGGTCCCTTGTACATCTGCCAAGGGCAAATTAGCAACAAATCAATCTCTCGTGATGTAACTATCAATCTAATTAGTAATGAAGAACATTATAGTAGAATTCCATACTGGAGAAATGGTGAAAGTACTATGAGAACGCAGAATAAGATCTGAAAGTGCTCATCAGGCTGTCTGACTGGTTTTTTTAAATAGTTGCAGAGGGTTTCCCACATTATCTGTAACACTGATGTCATAAAGCCTAGGACTAAATTTAGGAACATTAATTTCTGTTGATCTGTAGATACGTTTAAAAACCATTGTAGTTCCCTTGGCAATGGCACCCTAGAGCAGCAGCACGTTTTCTTGGATAAATCCATTTTAATTATTTCTGGATTTCATAAACAGTTTAATCAGCAACGTGGAAAACAACATGGCACCGGACTGACTCAGTTAGATCAAATATTGAAGAATGTAGCAACAAAAGCTAAGCATCCTCATTTCAGGACGAACTGTAGTACAATGTGTAACTACTCTTCCACATCATTTTGAACTTATTCCATTTGAACTAGACAAACTTGCACAGGATATGTCGCAGGGTTCGGACTGTAATGGAATACTAAATGATGGGCAGGGAGGTTGAACATTTCTTAAGAGAGGGTGTAATTAAACATAATAGATGCATCTGAAAAGAAAACATAGAAAATTAACGTTTATAAGGAAAAGAAAAAGGAATATGAATTTAAAACCCAAGAGAGAGCATAACTAGTTAAAACTGAAACAGCAGCAAGCAAAAGCATTATTGACACATTCAAGATAGAGTAGCAAGCAGACAATTCAGGCAATAAATATCAAGATCTCCAGAATTGTTAACCATGTAGTTGACCTGTACGATCGATCTAATGAAATCACGGTATGACATAAATAGACCATACGTTTTGATAACATGGTTGAGGATATTCTCAGGTCACGTACCAGACGATTCCATACACCTTGACTGCACAATACGTTTGCATTGGTCGCCATCCTGCAAGAGAAAATTCAGTGATTAGGCTTACTAAGTAGTGCCCCTTGATTCATACCACTCGCTGTTATACATACACAAGTATATAATTCCATGGTTAGGCTTACCAGTCAAGAGACAACAAGCTGTTCAAGTACTCACTCTAGGAATGCGTTCTAAATAATTGTTTAAGTGAGATCTGCTAGCCACTGACGAAAAAGAAGGTTTGCAGTGTATTAGAGGAAAATTCCTGATTATCACTTTGTAATTGGACATGGGATTATTGCTTTGTACTCCCTCTGTAAAGAAATATAAGAGTGTTTAGATCACTAATATTTCAGTAACACTCCAAGATGAAAGCTTGGAAAGTCTTCTCTAACTACTGAATTAACAGGGCTTGCAAGCATTCCATCGAACAGAAGACTGAAGCAAGAAAGTGTTTAAGCAAGCCACACACGAATAGGACTCCATGATTTGGCTTACTGATCCAAACACAACAAACTACTCTAAGTGTTCGCTCTTCTGAACATTTGCCCAAGGGAGAGCTGCTATTATGTCAGTACTGAAGAAATAGCAGAGTTTGCAGTGTCTGTACTCTGTACCCTGCACTAGAGCAGAAAGAGGAGCAATGGCTGGTAGTGGTAGGGCATCTAATCAAATTTGGACTTGAGATTGTTAGTTTTCACTTTTCAGAAAGACCACTCTTGTTAGTTTTCGGACAGATGAGAGCATTAGCAGCAGCCAGTGATTAGCGGCGGCTTGCTGGCATTCTGTCGAACAGAAGCTTGACAGGAGACGCGCGGAAAGGGGATGGAGAATGTCTCACCGGCGGCCCGCCTTGGCGCGTTGGCGGGGGCAGGGAAGAGGGCGACGGCGTGTGCGGGTCCGTGGCGGAGAGCGCAGAAGCCTGGCCTTTGCGGCGCTCCAGCTCGCGGCGGATGGCGAGGAGCTTGCGGCGGAACGTCCTGCCGCCGTCGGGGAGGCGGGCGGCGATGCCTCCGTGGATGCTGGCCTGCATGCGCTGCAGCCTCGCCTGCAGCGCCTGGTCCGGGAGATGGCGCAGATCGTCGCTGGCGACCACCGCCTCCGCGTCCTCGTCCGCCGGGGAGCCGCCGGGGAGCGCGGGCTCCGTCGAAGCCGCAGCCATTCCGTACACAGAGTAGTTTCAGAGAAGCAGAGAGTGAGAGAGAGAGAGAGATGCGGAATGCGGAGAGACGGAGGGGGTGTGGGAAGAAGACCACCGGACTCCCCGATGAGTGAGCGAGGGGAATCGCCATGTGTAGTAGGGACGCGGCTCGTCTGACGTACGGCCCACATACTGACAAGTGGGCCTGGACCCACCCATCAGCGGCCTAATGACAGGGGCCATACGTCAGGGGATCCGGCTCCGTGTAGTAGTAAGTACGAATTCTTCAGGATATCTCTGCTACATAAATCTTTGCTATTACTTTAAAAAAAACATGAGATTCCCATTTCATCTTTCTTCTCGCCACTCATTTTCCAATCTTTTATATATACATATGATAATCAATCACATTAGTTTACTTACCTTCCGAACCCATTCTACTTTAATTTACTTATCAAATTTCTAATCAAAATATAAAGTAATTCACGGTCATAATTTGACAAACATTTATTTACACAATTGCATTATTATTGACAAGTAAATCACAAGCTAACATACTAAAATATTTATATCCCGTTGCAACGCACGGACATTGTTCTAGTAAAATTGAAATGTTCACAAGAGAGTGAGGGACGCCAATCAATTTATGGTTACATGCTTAGAGCATCTCCAGCCGTTCGACCCCCGGGGGCTTGAAAGAGCGCCACATGGGGGCACGCCGGCTAAAAAATCAGTGTGGGGACGATCGGTTTCCCAACCGCTGCCTCCAGGCATTGCTTTTGAAAAAAAATTTAAAAACATACTCGACCAAACACGACACATAATTCAGTGAAATTTAAGTGTTCCATCGTTTTTTACATATTGAAAACATAATCTAAAGAAAACTACTACTACTACTGTCGCGCCGCCGCCCGCTGCACCGCCTACAGGCTGAAGGCGATGTAATCATCACCGTCGCCGTCGTCCTCCTCCTTCTTCACGTGGCCACCGTCCCTGCTGCACCCCTGCCCTGGGTCGCCTCGGCAGACGGGTATGACTGGCAGCGGTGCCTCGTCGTCGCTGTGTTCGAGGAGGATGACGTCGCCCTCGTCACGGCCATGCCGTCGAGCGGCGATCTCCTCCAAGGCGCGGCTGGCGCTCCATCTCCAGCCGGTAGTAGTCCTCGCACGCCCACTTGATGGCGGCCTTGTTGGCGGTGGCCATGTCGTCGTGCTTGCTCTTGACAGCGACAAGCCCCGACTCCGTCTTCGGCTTGACTAGACAGGAGGAGGAAGCAGAGGAGCTACCGCCGCCCTTGTTGATGACGAGGGCGCCGCCCGAGCAGCGTCTCCACGGGCTCGGACTTGACGTTGGCGAGCGTCGGCGAACTGGAGGAGGAGGAGGAAGAGTACCCGCCCGCCATGCGCCTCGGCAGCCAAGGGTCGCCGCTCCGGCAGGGGACCGGTTCCGGGGTCGCTGGGTACTCGAATGGCGGCTCGTTGCCGCCCTCGAGGTGCTCGAGGACGGAGTGGAGCGTGCACCCGGGGACGCCCCACCACGGGCGGTGGCTGTCGGTGTTGTGGACCCCCCTCACCGGCCCGTTGTTGGTGGAGGCCAGCTGTTCCTCATGCCGGCATTGGAAGTACGCTGCCCACTGCTTGTGGTTGTTGGCGGTGTACTCCGGGTGGCCCCGCACCTCCTCCGGCAGGGAGGCCCGAATGCGCGCGATCTCGCCGTGGAAGCGATCGTTGTCGGGCTGCGGGGGGACGAGGACACATCCGGCGGTGAGCCTCCGCAGCCCCAGCACGCGCATATCAGGCGGAGCTGAGTAGTTGGCCTCGTGGAGGAGGTAGGCCTCCCACTCGTGCAGGTGGAGGCGGCTGAAGGCGTTGGCCGCCGCTCCATCATCGGGGAATCGCTCCTCCATCGGCGGTTGTAGACGCTGCACGCGGGGGAGATAAGAGAGAGAGACGAGATGGAGCGTCGGTGGCGAGAGATGGAGTGTGGGCGAAGGACAGTGCGTTCACCGGCGAGGGAGGCGGGGTGACTTTTATAGCGGCTGGGGGCGGTAGACGTGTGTACGCGTGGCGGGAGGAGAGGGGCGTGTCGCCGTGCCATCACTGCGCCGCCCATGCGGAATCAATGGAAGGCTGACCGGCGGCAACCTTGGTATTGAGTCCCCATGGGAAAACGAGAAGATG